TAGCCTTTCCCTTTCCGACACCAATAATAAAAATTCCCGCCTTTTCCATCACGTTTATCTCCTATGTGGTCCCCACCCTCTCCACCCTGGCATTATCAGGAAGGATCTCGCGGCTCTCAATAAACTTGTGGGTCCCTCCTAAACCTCCATTCCTCCACATCCTCCCCTTTTTAACGTTGCTTCCGTTCAGCCGCTGCTCCTGCGGCGTACCCCATATTTACAATTAGCTAACAAACCGTACCGGGAGTCAAGTCTCCTTCACTGATACTTCCGGTTAAGAGCTGTTGTCATGGATGAGGAAGACACCAGAAAGAGACAGACCCAGGAGGGAAAAGCAGGATCTTCTACTGGGGAACGGCCGCGGTGGCCGGAAACGGAGGAGGGAAGTAACGGAGATCTGGGTGAGGACCTCTTGCCGTGGTTTTCGGCGGACTGGAGTGATGGTGAGTCGGTGGCGGACCTCTTGAAGCAAGTGGAATGTACGGATGCAACGTCGACGTCACTGGCCTCCTGGGCCACCACGAGGGTGAGGTTCATCGACAACCCGTACTCGTCGCAGCTGATTTTTCAGTCTTCTTCGTACATCACCATCAATGGCAACGAGGAGACCTGCGGGTCGTCTTTCTCGGACTCGGAGTCGAGCGTGATGGTGAGCGTGGACATGGGTGGGATTCTGAACCCCAATGAGAGCGTTCTGCGCGGGATTGAGGGGCTCGGAGTGTGGTTTACTGGGCGGGAGAAAGGGCTGTTGAGGTCAAGCGAGGCGGAGGCGCGTGGGTGGTTGGTGGGAGGCGGTGAGGGAATGGAGATGGGGATAGACGGCCGTGATGGGTTTGATCGTAATTGGGGATGGGAGTGGGATGATGTTGAACTTGGGCGGTTTATGGGGGAGGAGACCCCTTTTTTGACCCCCAATTTTGAGTAGACATAAACAGTGAATCAATCATTTCTAATTTTTGTTTTGCGAAATACTTTAGGCTGGGGGATGGGGGCCGGCCTTTGTTTAAGTATTTTAGTTTTAGGTGGTGGTGGTGGCCGGGCGGATCATGCGGCGGATTACGGTGGCTTTGGATTAACTCTATTAATGGGATATAAAATGGTAAAGAAAGAAATAAAGAGAGAGTGGTTTTTTTTTTTTTTTTTTTCGTTTTTAGAAATTAAAATTGTATTATGTAGTTAAAACTATACTTAATTCATTTAAGTTATAAAAACGAGATAAATCTCTTAATATTGAAAACAATCTTCTACGTAATGATTTTTATTTTCTAATTTAAAAATAATTTAGGCTGCGAAACGCACTCTTTGAGAATTGCCCATTACTAACACGAGTTGTGCCTTCTTCCACTACTCTTCACCCTGAGAAAATGTAAATGGGTAACAGCTAAACGTAGCAATTTGCAGTTTTCTTCTCTCCTTAATTAGACTATAATTTTTTATATTTTATTTTTTAAAGTTTAGTGGCCATGTTTACTTTGGGACTCGAACGCACTGAGTTTGAAAATTGCATGGGTAAAATTTTAATTAATTACCAGTTTCTAGGTGCGTGTTTGGTTACCTTCTTTTGGGAGACGATCTAAAGAGGCCCAGGGTAGGGTTGGGTTGGGTACAAGTACACAAATCCTACCCTGGGCCTCATAAAAATTAGAAACAAAGGCCCAATATAAAAGGTCTTACGACTCATACCAAGCTTTCTTCCGTCGTTAGAAAGAGAAAAAAAAAAAAAAAACTGAAGGATTGCCACTTTCTATGACTGTCTTATATTATAATTTAAATTATATTAAATTATAAAATAAAAATTATTAAATAATAAAAAAACTCTTAGTGATAGAAGTTCATTCTTCATATAAAGTACAAAAAAAAAATAGTATTTATCTGTTTCATCTCTTAAAGATTAAAAATAATATTGTTTTAAAATTATATTATTTTAATAAATACTTATTAAAAACTCTTAGTGATAGAAGTTCATTCTTCATATAAAGTACAAAAAAAATAGTATTTATCTGTTTCATCTCTTAAAGATTAAAAATAATATTGTTTTAAAATTATATTATTTTAATAAATACTTATTAAAAAGACTAAAATATCTTATTTATAAAGCATGAATTATGATGTTTTTTATATTTTCTTATAATGCTTTATTAAAACGATATAGTTTTGAAATAAATTTTCTCTTAATTTTTTAAAGATAAAGAGAACAAGCACTAACCTCTTAGTATAATTTAAATTATATAACACTTTTTCAATATATTATATATTAAAAAGTAAAAAGGGTTTTTTGAATACGGACTGTATTTTTTTGATACCATTGAATATTATCTTACATCTTAAAGATTAAGAGAAATATTATTTTAAAATTATATTATTTTAATAAACATTTATTAAAAAAATTAAAATATCATATTTGTAAAGCATGAATTAGGATATTTTTTGTACTTTCCTATCTTAATTTTTTAAAAATAAAACAAACAAATACTAATCTTTTAGTACAATTTAAATTATATAACACTTTTCAATATATTATATATTAAAAGGTAAAAAGGGTTTTTTGAATACGGACTATATTTTTTGATACCATTGAGTATTAAAATTATCTAAATATCTTTAATAAAATTACTTTAATCTTATTCATTAATGGTGCTTTTATAATTTCAATATTCCAACTGTAAAAAAAAAAAAAATACAATCTGTACTAAAAAAATCTTTCTCATTGGAAAATAAATCTATCTAAAAATTAATTGAGCTACTCCCATTCAACAGGAGCCAATTAATTTGTGTGTAAAGATCCCATCTTAGGTACTATTACAAACATTATCTACATCACCTTCAACTAAACAAGGCAGCAAAACAGGGGACGATTTTGTGGCTCAAGAACACTTAAATACCATCTGGAGATCTGGCCTTTCAAACCAAGCTAGAGCCAGTCAAATCACACAAACCAACTTTCCATGGCATCTGCGTATTATTCATTTTAACCCAAAAAGATATATATTAACTTCTTTTTATATTGTCTTTTTATCAAAGGGATAATTACCCAATTAATCAACTTTAATTGAACTTTTTTTGGTAAAATAAAGTTGAAAAATGATTGAGGTAAAACTTTTTTTTGTGCATGGATCACTGCTTCAATGCTCTAGAAGATTTGTGTCACGGGAGACGATGTGGAGTTTTATTGGGGGACCCCTACTATTTTGACCTCAATTTCCATTAAGCTTTGATAATGCTGCATCAACATGGACTTTTTTTTAACATGTGTTCTTTTTTATTTTTTTGTAAGACATGTAGTAAAAGTATATGCGATTAATGAGTATTAGTTTATTTCATATATAAAAATTAAATAAAAAATATTAAAATTGTACAAAAAAATTAAATTAAATTCATCTTTGTTTTTAAAAATTGTGATTTTTAGCTTTTTCATAAAATTTCATTAAATGATATAAATTTAAATATGTTTTTACTTAATTTTTTATAATACAAATTGACACTCTTTTTTTAAAGTATATTTATATTACTTTCTATCATTAATAATATAAAAATATACTAATAAATTATTAGTTTAAATGAAAGAAATTTGATTTTTATTAAATAAGATTTTTAATTTGAATTTTATGAATACAAATACAAACATTGAGAAAGTTTCTTTTTTTTTTATAAGGTTTGATTAAGCTTAATTTCAGATAAAATATAATTTAATGTAACTTTCAAATACTAAAACATTTAGTAAAAAAAATTAACATTAATTTTATTAATTAAAAATACCTACATGATATGATGTTGAAATTAATAATAACTTTTTATTTTTTTAATAAATTAATGGCTAAAATGCACATTTCATTCACTCTTAAATAATTAATGAAGTCTAACTTACATTGTAAGTGATTTAATAGTAATATTTTTTTAATAAAAATAAAATCACTTCAGATCAAGTTCTATACCAGTGAATTAAATTAAAGAATAAGAAAGTATTTTCTTTTGCTTTACAACTAAAAGAAAAAGTCTTTTCTGCCATTGCAAGCTATTTCAACCAGTTCAACAACCGGAGATGATTACTCAAAATAAAAAATAATTAAAATTTTAATGAATTAAATAAAATATTTTTTCTCGCAATTTTATATCTACTCCCTTTTTGTTTTTTTCAGCTTTTTTAACAAACTTAATGCACTTTTTGTAATTAACTTCTATAAAAAATATAAAATTTGATTTTAATTTAATTAATTGATTAATTAATACTTTGTTTAGTATTGTAGTTTCAAGTTTTTTATTTTAATTTTTTAAAATTTAGAAAGTTTAGAACAAAATTAAGAAAATCTACAAGTTAATTAAGTTTAAAATTTTTGGCATTTGTCTTAAAATTTTATACCAAATAAATTAGAAATTTTAATTTTTAATTTTAATTATTTAGATTTTAAAAATTAAAACTACAATTATACTAAATAGATTTTAAAAGTATTCACAAGATAATGGATTTAAAATAAAAATCAATATTTTTATTTTTTATATAAATTAATTATAAAATAATAAATTTATTACATAATTAAATAAAGCTTTATATTTTTTCAAACAAAACACACTCTTAATGCAATTCGTTGGTGGTAGTCTTAAGAAACATTACTGCACTGTACTTCCCAAAAATGCTAATCGAACTTAAGAGACAGCCAGTTTTTTATTATGTGCTATTCATATATAGAATAAGGGTATGGTTAATATATTTTTTATAATTAATTCGTATATATATTAATTTTAATTTAATTAATTAATTAAAATTATTAATGTATTTATAATGTTAAAATAAAAATTAATTTTTATTTAAAATTAATGTGTATTAATCTCGGTTTTAAAAAATTTAGAATTTTAAATAATATTTAGAAACTAAATTTCAATTTAAAATTTAATAATTCAATCAGTTTTTAAATTTAAATATCAATATTTAATAAAAAATTTAATTTTAAATTAAGTTTTAATTTAATAAAATGAAGTAATTTAATATTAAAATTTTAATTTTTTAAAGGATTTTGAAACTAATATATATTTTTTATTTTTATATAAATTAATTATAAATAATCACGTGATGGGTCATGGTAATTATAACCAATCTCAAATTAAAGTGCTTTATCTGGAGCAAGATTCACGGGCGGCTTTATTTTTTGAGGTTTTCTAATATGTATTGTAAGGACACAAATTAAAAATATATTTATTATTATTATTTTCTATAAAAAATTTAAAATAAATTTTATCTTTAATATTAATATTATGTAAAATATTTTAATTTGAAAATTAATATAACTAAAATTAATTTTTTATTTTTGGATTTGTCTAATGTGTTAATGGCGTTAGAAGATATAGCAAGGTTAATTACAAACAAGGCTTTTTCTAATTTGTGTTTTAAGGAATATTTAATATATTTTTACACATTAATTTATGTAAAAAATAAAAAAATTAATATTAATTTTATTAATT